CCCCAAAACCCCAAAACCCCAAAACCCCAAGACTCTGAATTCTGTTTCTAATCATTCAATTATATATTAAGATATATTAATCATTTTTATCTCTCTCAAATACCTCCACTGAAGAATGAAGAACCTTCATCCTCTTTTTCCAAAGCTTTAATTTCTTGCATTTCTTCATCTTTATCTTCATCCAAATCATTATTACCAATCTTAAGCCCCTCTTCTCCACCATATTATAGCTATTTCTTAATTTCTTCCATGCCACCAGCACCATGCATTCCTCTCTTGTCTTATTCTGCTAGGACTTCAGCAATATTTACTTCCTCAGAGTCTAGCTTATCCAGAAATTCTTAGACTTCTTCTTTGTAGTAATAGTCCTGATTTCGCTTGTATTCAAAACTCAAAAGCACATCTTCTCTTTTGTAGTTATAGGTGATCTTATATTCTCTTTCATGAAGGAATTCTATTGCATAGTCATAGCTCATATCATTTAATATTTGTAGCCCACTTTTCTACTATGATTCCTTATTCAAGAACTTCATCTTGATTTTACATGGTCTCCATTCTTTGAGTCCTGATGGATGAGTATATAGAGCGAAACAGTCGTACTGATCTATTTCTTTTTCTTGAGAGATCTATACTCTAACTAGCTCAAACTCTGTGGCTTTTTAATCTGATTCCACATTTATCCTATCCATTGAATCGTAGTAATAGTGACTGTTTAGATTATTGGACATGTAATCTGGCACAGATTTTCTGATCTTGAATTTCTCGGACATGATATTTGGGATACTATCTCCAAGGTTCTCGCTTTAAGCAATGAAATCTATTACCTGCTTCATTCTGTGCTTGACCATGATAAATGCATCCTACCTAGAGAGTGCTGATAGCATAACCACATATAGAGTGTTGCCCTATTCATCTCTACTTTTCTTATATATTTAATCTACATCTCCTTTGGCTATGCGCATCAATTGGGAGGGGTCCACTGTGAAATCATCTTGTTTATCTATTCTTGGATTGAAATTAATCATGAATTTCTTGTTATTAAGGGCTTAAAACTTGAATCTGTATGGCATGTCTGCATCAACAAAAGCCTCTTATGATCCAAATAACTAATCTCTAAGAAATATTTCTTGTCTCAAAACGTTAGAGATTAATGGTAATCTTTCAATAATTTTGAGGAATTCAGTTTTATTATACAGCTTTAATCCATTTAGCTTTATAGGCAGTTGTAAATTCTACCCTTCAAAAAAGCCTTTTGCATTTACATTGTAGGAATATGAAATCTCATCACCGTTCTAGGTTCTATAAAATACATTGACAATCTATTCTTCTTTTTTAAGTTAATTCTACCCTTTCAGCCAGAAGTTAATATTGTGAAAAGGATCTTAACTTAGGTCAATATATTCTGTATTTTGCTAGGATCTGATAACAGAGTTCAGGGTTTATTTAAATTGATTAGTAATATCATAGGATTATAAAGTGGGTTGTTGCTTTTAAAATAGTTTACTTATGAAGCCTTAACTCTAGATGAATGCTTCTACACTTTATTGTTATGTTACTCTTGAAATTCCAGCTATGCTTTGATTAGTATGAATATTTATTAACTGCTCTACCTCATTGATTGGAATAGGATAGTACATTGAGTTGTAGATATTTTAGATTAATAGTACTAGTATTTAATGAGACATCTTATCCTTCGTGGTTTAAAATGCATTGAATATAATCTCTAACATCTGTTTTACAGTTATCTCTGGATTTTATGCTATAAGTTTAATTATATATCTAGATGTCCAGAATTCTTTAGGCTCTAGTTTGAGATTATCTAAGATGCTCTTCAAAATTTGGGGATTAAAGAAATAAGGAATGAAGCCTTCCAAAGACTTATCATTTTATTTATCACTCTATCTTTGACTGTCAATAGTCTTAAATACTTCTTCATCTCTGTCATTTAAGTGAATATCCTTTTCCTCAGAATTGCTTGTTTTAGCTAGCATCGTTGTCTTGTCTTTTTATTATTGGACGCGAGTAGTAATCTTGAAATCAGCATATGGATTGTTAAAGCTTTATAATCTTTCATTTACAACTCTGAGTGAGAATAGCTATTGGCTTGGTGTTGACACTATCTCCTCTAGTTTTATATAAACAGCACCGAGATCTATTTGATGAACATTGTTCTAGATTTGTTTGAACTTTATTTGAATCTTTTTATTCTCCTCTAAATTCACAATGCTTGTTCTTATAAAGATCCTTTAAGATATTTTTTAGTACATTGATTAGTCATTATTCAGGGGAAGATATACTTCAAAAGTTTCACTGGTTACCATTTCATCTGCATTTAGAATCATAACAATTTGAACTTTTTCGGGATCTAATTGCTGCTTGAATAGGTTTCTAAAAGCTATCAGTTCTATTTAAACTTAGATATTGCTTGGATTTTACTGCTAGTTCAATAGCTTGCTGTTTATACTTAGATCCAATTGGTTCTCTATGACGAGCTTGACTATTTATTTATGCTAATCCTGCGTCTCCTTAAATCTCTTAACAGCCTCCATTTCAACATCCATTCTAAGGTCCTCCAATTAATATGCTTTATCATTTTTAAGTAGTTTGTTTATCACTGTTTCTTTCTTTACAAATACCTGCTTAATAATGGTAAGCAGTTCATCTATAAACAAATTAGGGTTGTAATTGATTGCAGCTGTTTTTTCAAGCAAAATTCTCTTAATTTAAACAGGGTCATTTGACTTTAGGATCAATTTGATATTTGCTTGGATCATGTACAGGGGAATAGCTAACAGATACCACAGTGCTCTTTTTCTGTTATCTATAGTGTTCGTAGACAGATTAAACACTATCATATCCCATAGTCTGAGAATTATATCGGTTGAGAAGCTTTCAGTGAAAAACTTAGAAAATGCATCATAGAAATAAAACTCAAAAGGCACTGAAAGTGATTTCAGATGTTCAAATATTTAAGGATAGTGCAGTTTGATCAAGCATATCAGGATGTTCATTTCATTCTTATAGGACACTCTTCTAGAGATCATAGCACTGAAAGTCTAATACTAGGAAATCTTTTAATCCTTAGGCTCCTTGTAATCAAATATGAGCACGTTATTAAAAGCTTTAGTCATACCAACTAAAGTCCAGAAAGCATCTTCCTCATTCATAAAAGACAAGAATCTTTGAACCAAAGATAGTAGACCCTTATTGTACACTATAGATTTATTAACAATTATAAAATATAATTACTTAATATTTTCTAGCGTTTATCTGTGAATTCATGAGCCCATGTTGCATAGGCTTTGAAGATATTGTTCATACAAAGTCTTTCTTCCTCCCATCTATCCTCTCTAAATGAGTTTTAATTCTTTAAATATCCTCTCGGAAACTTGAATGATTTTATATCTTGCTCTATCTACTGATAGAGGGTTGAATCTCTTAATGTGGAGAAAATTTTGAGGTTTTCATAGTTTGATATATTTCCATTGTAAAACTAAGAGAATTCAGCATTACGCTTTATGTATTAATGTATCTACTGCTCATTGATTTGTCTTCTAAGTAAATCTTTCCAAAGACTCACTCTTAGATCCTTAGGAATTCCAAATTTAATCAAATACCATATGTCTACATACTTCCAAGATTGCTCCTTTTCCCACTGTCCCACAAATAAGACTGAGAATCTTTGGCCTTTAGTCTCTTCTAGTCCATTTTTAATAGAACCTTCTTTCTAAGATGCTGCAAGCGGATTCTGAGATTTAAGCTATCTAGATCTCTTTCTGTACTTTGAACTGATCATTTTCGTGGTATTTGTCAGCTTAGATCTGATGGACTTAAACTCATCATCTACGTATCCATCTTCATCTGCAGTCCTCATTAAGTCATTCATAAATTCTTCCCAAAATACTCTCTATCTCTCATCCAAAGCATTATTTCTTGTCATGTATTAGTAGTAAAGCCAAATTTATTTGAACAGATAAACGTTTTACTCAATTTTAGGTCTCAAGTGATTTATATCCTAAAGCTATTTGTGCTTCTTATGCTCAGGAGAAAATCTCTCATATCTCTTTTAGAATTAATCAGCATCTTGAATCAAACTAGAATTTATGTCAATATTAGTTCTTCTCGTTTGGTAACCGAATAGTCCGAGTAAAGAATCATCATAGCTAAAGTCTGTTAGATATTTCCCTAATGGAACTCTGTAGCCATATTCATCATAAAGTTCATGTTCATGCAACACTTTATAGAATAGATATTACTGAGCATTCTTAAATAATGATTTAGTAGTATCAAGGTTCATTCTTTCAATAGTACCAAGTGATGGGACAAATAAAGTTCTGATTTTTATCAATGAGCTTCTATTGACTGAGTCTTCAAGGAACAGATAAAATTCTTAGCCATAATTATCTAATAGAATCAGATCTTCAGTTTAAACTTCTGCAAAGCCAATAAGATCCTCAATAATCTCTGATGAAAATCTTGACTTCTTTTTTTAATTATATACTTCTATCAGGATTGAATGTGGAAATCTCTTCATAAACATGCCAATATCAAAAGTTTCACCATGTGGGTTAGTTCCTGATACCCATTGAGGATTATTGTTTTACTTTACTATAGAAGTTTTATATGTTTTATTGGCAGATTCTTCAGAGTTCTTTTTGCACATTATGAAAGATTACTCATTTGCGATATCAATAAATTTAGCATTAGATTGATTTTTAGGATCACCAATAGATACCTAGACATAACTGTCACAAAGAGCTCCTTCCTTATTAGCTAAATTTTAGGCATTCATAACTGAAATAAATAATCTTCCACAGACAAAAGCCTAGTTTCTGTTACGTACTGAAAATCCATGTAATCTCTGATTGTAAATCAACTTAAGCTATTACTCTTAAATTCCAAGATAAATTCTTCTCAATAGCTCATTTTCATTATTGTTTACTTATAAGTCAAGACTCCATTCAAATTAGCCATTCAAATAATTTTGGGGTTTATTTTAAATATTGATAATTGAAATCCCATATCTTTCAATAGCCTTAATATCAGCTTTAACATTAACGTTATCTATAATTTTCCTCTGATAAATATCATTAGTTGGTTATTCTTCAACCAGCTATATTTAAGCAGTAAAATTTCAATTTAATTTCAGAACTTTAGCCACAATATTTTATTTATAAATGACGAATCTTCCTATCAATAGCTAAGGGCCTTCCATCTCTGCAGATTAGAATGCACCATTTACCTGAGTAATAACAAAAGCACCTGATAAAATAGTCTAATCAATTTTATTAGGTTTGGGGTCTTTAGGATTATAAAATTGATTATTAAATTCAATAGCATGCAGCATTTCATTTTTAAGAGCCAATTCATTATTTTCAAAATCTCTCATTCTCAGGCTCACATAACTAATGATTTACTCATTGCAAAACTCATTAACATATTAGTTATTTGGCGGCAATCTACCTATTACAGCTAGCAATGTTATTTTCATTATTTTAAAGTCATGAATATCAAGAGTAATTTCATCCTTCAATGTGATGGTAGAAAAATGGCCACTTGAAAATAACTTTGAGTAACAATGAAAATCCCCTATTTCAAATTTCAATCTGAATGCTAGCTGATTCTTTCTATTGCAGATGCGTTCTTTTAGAATATTCTAGATGTAGAGAGGAATCTAAATCTTTTTCAAGCTGAATTGCAAGACAGTCTTGTCTACCAATCTTGAATACTTAAATCTTTCCTGACCAATTTGGCTTGGCAAGATATTTTCTCCAATCATCTCTACATTTGAGTTGATTTTTCTACCTCTGAGCTGGAGCTTCCAACTTTGCTGGTTCTACTGATTAGGCTATTGATATCTAATATCAGTGCAAATGAAGTTTATCTCATTCAAAGGTAATAAGTATTCGTGCTCTATAGTTTAAGAATTATATATTTTGTATTCTTACTCTTTTTATCTATAAGAACAAGATTTTCTCCTTCAACTCTGACAGCTGCAATACTGCTTAAATCTTAAATAAGGTATGGGATCTCTCCAATTTTATTCTATAAAATGAATATGCTACACTTTACTAACTTACCATATTCTCAAGGACTTGATCATGTATTCTATAAGACCCATTCTGGCAAGTGAATTATTTTACATCCATCTGCTTGTTAATTAGATCTTAAATAACAGGATGTCTATCTTGATGATGATCCTTGAAAAGCTAAGTCACTCTTTTGAAACTTCTATTACCTTTGGTGTACATTTTGAAGTAGAAATACCCCCACAAATTAACCATTCCTTTTCTGAAGGTAGAGTAAATCTCAGGAATCCTTTCAGGCTCTTTTATTTCTTCAATAGGCTCAGCAGCTACCATTAGTAGCTTTTGCTCTTCTAATAGCCTCTTACGCTCTGCCTCTTAAGCTTTTAAATATTCTCTATGTTCAACGTCTTTGACTCTCCTAACTTCTTTATCAATAAATGCTATTTTTTCTATTCTTTCCTGCTCAAAGTGGCATTGTATTGTAAAAAGTGATTTTATAAGATCTTTTTGTCTTTTGATTTAATATCTCATTTAGTTCATTAATTTTATAGGTCTCGTAAAATTTGAAACTTTAAATATCTCTGAAAGCAAAGCGATCCATTAACCAATAAGCAAATTCTTTTCATGGTTTAAGATTGCTTCTACATTTGCTTGGATAAGTATGGCTTAATGTCTATTGTCGACATAATGATAGACAGGCTAAAACTATCTATTCTTAAGTCTGATTTCTAATCTGAATTTCTTATTCAATTCAGTCCATTAAGTCAATTTATTCTCCTTGTAGTCTACTTTATTTTCCTCAAGGCTTTCTATATAAATTCTGCACTCACCCAGCGAGACCTTTTTCTTTGGTTTTGAATCCTCCTACTTCTTATAGTATACTATTGACTCTGTAGACTGATCAACAGTGAAATATCTATCCAGCATACTCTTGGAACAAGATCTACTCAATTTACTCAATTTTAACTTATCCTAGATCTAATCTGAAATTTCTGGATCAACTTGCTTGTAATCCTGAATCAAAGTTGAGAACTCTTGACTCCTCAAAATTGCTTGATTCTCTAACTTCTTGATATTCTAACTAATTTAGTCTTGCTATTATCTGCTAAGTTTAGCCGCCTAAGATGAATTCAATGCAAATAAATCTTACGTTTTTAGATCGAAGCTAGTAATTCATTTGGGCTTTTTAAAAAGCCAAATGCAAGTTAGCTCTGTATTCATCTATTGGCTTGCAATTGCTTAACCAATTCTTAGTGGCCTTTTTGCCACCAATGATAGGATTTTCAACTAGTTACTATTCTTTCCTAATTAATGGCTCCATCAAATCTTGTATATTTGAAATTAAATAATCAAACTAAGTGTAAATTTGAAATTTAAATCTCAATCTTTAATCTTCCTTCATGGGGTTTTGGGGTTTTGGGGTTTTGGGG